GAGTCTATCTGGGTATCGGTTGCATGTCTGGGAGTGTGCAGTGGATTTTCGAGTTTCCATACCATGTTTCCTACATGCTTGGACGAGGCTGTGCTTGTGTGTCTGAGTGATGAGATGGGTGTGCTCAGTCGCATGTGTGTACCTGCCTGGGGTCCCTGGGGCTGGATTGGGAGCGGACATCGAGGGCCCTCGGGCTGTGTGTGCACTGGGGAGGGTGTGTATGTATCACATGTGTACGGGATTCGCGGGTCCGAGCTGCGTGTGTGTGAGCACGTCCAGCCCACCCAGGCCCTCCGGTGTCTCCGCAGTGCCGCCATGGAGGCCCCCCAGAGATGGCTGGTGGTCTGTGTCCTGGCCGTATCCCTGGCCTCGACGGTGACGCAGGATGTGTGCCGCGCACCAAACGGGAAGGATGGGGCTGCAGGAAAACCTGGCCGACCTGGACGGCCAGGCCTCAAGGGGGAGCAAGGGGAGCCCGGTAAGCACCTCCCTCTGGACCCAGCCCCTCCGACCTTGGCCCAGCCTCCAGGGTCGAGGCTTGAGGGTGGCACTGAGAAGCAGGAGTCCACCTGCCCCCACCCCATGAAGCATTTCCAGTTTGCACTTGGCCCCAGGGGCTGAGGGGGCCTAGCCTTCTCCCTGTGCCACGTCCAAAGGCTCCCAGGACCCCACATTCCCCTGACTGCCTGGATCTTCTTTCTCTGTCCTCACCTCCCTCCTCTGGAGAATGGGTGGTTTTGAGCAATGAGTGTGAAAGGTCTGGAAGCAATGCCCAGTCCTTGGTCATTGTCCAGTTACCAGATGATTAGGCCCCAGATTTTAGACTCAGGAGCCTGTGCCTTGCTGTGTGACCTCAGGCAAGTTACTGACCCTCTCTGAGCTAAGTTTCATCTACAAAATGGAGAAGTAACCCTGCCTGGCACATAGAAGGGACCAATTGACTGCAACTATCCTTTTTGCTTCCTTCCAGCAGCCCCAACTCTGCCCCTGCTTCCCTCTCCGCAGCCCCTTCAGGCTCCAGAAACTCTCATGTTCTAGAAAAATAAAAGGCTGGGGGTGATGGAAAGTGGAGGCTGTCATGACCAGAGTGGAAAAGGAAAGTCTCATGTAATCCCCCTGAGCCTCCCAGTCCGTGGCAGACCAGAAGGATTGCATAGACGCTTGCACTAATCTGCATCTGGGCATCCTACATGTGGTCCCCAAACCTGAAGAAATAGGGTCAATGGCCTGGAGGGGTGTGGAGGGCACAGCCATGGGCAGGAGCACAGCGGAGCAGCCAGAATGTCCTGCATTTCCCAGAACTTGACGCTTTCCCAAATGCCTGTTCACACTTCTCTCCATTTCACAGATGAAGGGGAGGCTCAGAGAGGTTAAGACACTTGCCCAAGGTCACACAGCCAGTCAGAATCGATGTCTTGAAGGCCCAGGCACTTCCTTGCCCTCCATCCCACAGACGCAGGGGTTCCAGGCCTCTCCCTGCTGACTGGTGGGCACTGGGCTCTTGCTCTCGATCTGGTATTTCTCCCCACAGGGGCCCCTGGCATCCGGACAGGCATCCGGGGCCTTAAAGGAGACCAGGGGGAATCTGGGTCCCCTGGAGCCCCCGGCAAGGTGGGCTACCCAGGGCCCAGTGGCCCCCTGGGGGACCGTGGTGTCCCAGGATCGAAGGGCATCAAAGGCAACCCAGGAAACATCAAGGACCAGCCGCGGCCAGCCTTCTCGGCCATCAGGCGGAATCCACCGACGGGGGGCAACGTGGTCATCTTTGATATGGTCATCACCAACCAGGAAGGCCGGTACCAGAACAACTCGGGCCGGTTCGTCTGCGCTGTGCCCGGCTACTACTACTTCACCTTCCAGGTGGTGTCCAAGTGGGACATCTGCCTGTCCATTGTGTCCTCCTTGAGGGGCCAGGTCCGGCGCTCCCTGGGCTTCTGTGACACCAACAGCAAGGGGCTCTTCCAGGTGGTGTCGGGGGGCACAGTGCTCCAGCTACAACAAGGCGACCAGGTCTGGATCGAAAGAGACCCCCTCAAGGGCCGCATTTACCAGGGCTCCGAGGCCGACAGCGTCTTCAGCGGCTTCCTCATCTTCCCGTCTGCCTGAGCCAGGGCAGGCCCCCGCCCCGGCCTGGCCTCGCCCGCTTCCCACTGCGTGACCTGGCCCCCTCATCCCAGCTCTCTGGCTTCTACGTGCCGCTCTGTAAAATGGGGGTGCGCTTCCTTTAGCCGCCTGAAGGGAGGGGGCTGGCTCCGAGAGCCCCTAGGACTTGCTGCCCCACTGCTCGCTCTAAGAAGATCGTCTCTTAGAACTCTTCCCGCAATAAACGTCTGAATCTGTGCCCGCTGGACTCAAGGCGTGGTTGCCACTCTGAGCACGGGGAGGGCGGGCGAGGGTGGTAGTAATCACCGAGTGCGGAAGAGGCAGGCTCATCTTCAGCGTTTCCCATGATGTGTTCAGCAGGTCCTAGCAGCCTCGCCTGCCCAGGTTCAAATCCTGACGCCGCCACTTACTAGCTGTCTGATCGTGTGCGTGTTGCATGAGTTCTGTTTCCTTATCTGTAAGGGGGGACTACAGGAGCACCCACCTCAAACGATGGTTGGAAGCGTTAAATGACTTACTATATGAAAATTGTAGAGCAGTTCCTGGTTCATAAGAGCTTTGGGGTTTCAGCTATTATTATATTCTGTTTAATCTTTATGATCAAGCCCTGAGGTGGGTACAAGGACCCCACTTTACAGATGATGACACTGGGGCGGGGGCGAGGGGAGTGTGAAGTCCCAAGTCAGTATCTAAGGGGAGGATCTGGGACTTGAACCTGCGTCTTACTGAGGCCCGAGCCTGTATGTTTAACCACCACCCTCGCTGGCCTCCCCAGCCTCTACAGCTGCACTCGACAAATCACACAGGTGCTTTGCCAAGCCTGTACTAGGAAGGCGGCGCAGGAATCGGAGCGGGGCACCCAGCAGTCCTCCTCAAAGCTAGGTTTCCTGTGTCCGGCCCTGGGCTTCCGCCCTGGCAAGCCCGGAGGCTGGGGCTGCTGCCTCTGCTGCCTGCTGGGCCTCCCGCCTGGGCTGGCGGCCCGGATGACCTCGAAAGTTCACGGTGCGTTCCCAGGGTCCAGCTCAGCCCACCTGGGAGCTGCTCTGAGGCAACAAACCACCATGTCCTTCGTATGTGAGGAAATCGGGGGCTCAGTCCTGAACATGTCCAATGCTCTATGAGTTTTCCCAAAGGACGCCGGTTTTATCTGTGTGCTGTACACACACACACACACACACACACACACACACAATCACACACATGCACACCACACACGTGCACACACAGACCTCCCTTGAGACGCAGGTGGACCCACATTCCCGGACCGAGACTCATCCGCTCCCCCAGGCGATGCCCTCCCCAGAACACACCCTGCACGCCCTTGGACATGCACACTAGCTACCCCTCCACACCCACGAGACACACTCCGGGAGGCAGGAGCTGTCGTTCCGCACGGCCCTGGGCTCTTCCCTCCCGGGGCCAGCTCTGCCCCCGCCCACCCACGGGCTGGGGAAAGAGACAGATCTCTGGGCACCGACTGCGTGCTGGACATCCCAGAGCCACTGATGCCTTTAGTCCCAGCAGAATGGATGAGGACACTGGGGCTCAGAGAAAGGAGCCGCCGACCCAGGGTCACACAGCCAGAAAAGGGCAGGGCCTAGGTCTGAACCAGGTCTGCCTGGCCCCAAAGCGTGCCTTCTTTCATGGCAATGGGCCTCGAGGAAAATGTCAGGGCTGGAAGCCCGTAGGAGCAGAGGAGGCCAGGCTAGAGGTTGGTGGGTGCAGGGAGTGCCCAGCTGCCTCCTCACCCAGACGCTACCCACACCTCCTTCCAGCCCCCTCACCAAGGCAAAGCTCTGGTCCCTGCAGGAAGGCACAGAGCCAGAGCTGGGCCAGGCGGGAGGGGCTAAGGAGGGCTGAGTGTGGGCTGAGGCTGCCACCTGCTGGACAAGCCAGGCCAGGCGCAGACGAGGTGAGAAGGGAGCACGGAGCCACGCGTGCCAGCAGGCTGGGGAGCCCCCACCCCCATACTGTTCTTCCCAGGACTCCGAGGGCCAGCGTGTTCATGACCTTGACCTTGACAGCCCCTCACCAGCCGCACGGGCTCCAAGCCCAGAGGCAGGGGGTGCCAGGATGCAGGTGAGCAGGGGTGATGGCAGGGAAGGTGGGACCATCGTCAAAGGAAGAGGCACCAACCCTCGAAGCCAGGCCCACAGCGTACGGGAGGGGAGACCGAGGCCCAGGGCCAGGGCTGTGCTGAAGATCTCGGGAGAAGGAGTGGCAGGGCCAGAAGGAGAAGCCAGGCCTGACTGTGCAGCCAGGGCGGCCCGAGCACTGTGGCAGCTGCGGCCATCAAAGCCGGGCCATCCTGGGGGTCCTCCAAGTGTGGCCACTGGGATGGCGCATGTGGAAGTTTCTAGAACAAGCCCTGCCACTTGACAAGTGTGTGTGAGCCTTGTTTCTGGGGGCAGCTGAGCAGAGAGGTCAGAGCAAAGCTTTGGACACCAAGAGACCACTCAGTGTGTGTGGCTTTGAGCAAGGGCTCACACTTCCCTGAGCCTCAGTTTTCTCATCTATAAAAGGGGGATAATAATGTCCTCCCAGGGATGCTGCGAGGAAACTGAGTCTCAGACACAGCGAATGCCAACATCGGGCATTAGATGGGCTGGACCTGATTCTGGGGGACGACTGTGCCCTGGGGGCTTGTGTTCAACACGCACACACAGACACACACACACACACACACACACTCCCTTAACCAGATGCCGGGCAGTCAGCGGACATTTCCTCATTTCACACACTCCTGACTGGGAGGGGGCTGTGGACAGGGCTGTCACTGTGGTCAGCCTGGCTCAGCACCCAGAAGAAAGTGTCACGTCAGGGAATCTGTGGGAAAGGGGATGTGGGATTGGGGGAGGGCAGAGGGGAGGGGGCCCAGCCCTCTCTGGGCAATCCCAGCTCCGTCCACTCCGACGCGGCGGTGTCCTTCTGCCCGGGAGAGGGGAGGCAGGTCTGAGGACCTCTCTGTGACCAGGCCAGAACCGCCACCCCCAGCGAGGCCAGGACCCCTGCCCAGGTAAGGGCAGACGGCAGTTTTTCCCCTGCCACCTTCCTGACACATGGTGCCAGGGACCACTTGGTTTGTGAGAGGGAGGAGCGTCCCCACTCCCTACTGGGCCCGGGGTCCCCCATCCGGCCATGGGAGGGACAGGCAGCTGGGCTCCTGAGGGCTGAGGAGCCCGGGAAGCGAGGGGCAGGGAGGGGGAGGGGCGGGGGGGCCAGCCCAGCTCTCTCCCACCCTGCTCCTTCCCCAGGACGGACATGGGGCCCAGCTGCCGGCCCCACCTTGGACTAAACCTGCTGCTGCTCCTCCTGGCCCTGCCCGCCGGGGGCCAGGCTGACACAGGCTGCTACGGGACTCCAGGGATGCCAGGCCTGCCTGGGGCCCCGGGGAAGGACGGGCATGACGGGCTGCCGGGGCCCAAGGGGGAACCAGGTGAGTCTGCTGGCCTGCTTGGGGTTGGGGTCTGGGGTGACCTGGGGGCAGGGCAGGGGCAGCAACTTGACAGCGGAAGTGCGTGCCCTGATGCCTCACCCGTCCCCAGGGCAGAGTCTGAGTCCCACCGTGGGGCTGGCTCCCCCTCCACAGAGCTCAGGCCTCAGGCCTCCCCCAGGCGACCTTGGGACCCTCCCCCAGGCGACCTTGGACTTGGACCCATGCCCCTCTGGGCTCCTCATTCTCTTTAGCTGACAATGGGGATAACAGTGGGGCACACGGGGCACTGCCCGGCAGTGGCAGGAGGATCCCAGCAGACAGGGCCGGAAAGCCTTTGGCAGACTCGCTGGTGTTTGGCTGTGACTTCGTGACCACGCCCCCACCACCTGCCCTGCGCGACACCTGGGAAGGTGGGCCCACGCGGTGAACGTAGCCCTCTGCGTGAACCCGTGCAAGTTACTTAACCTTGCAGGGCCTCGGTGTCCCTGTCGATACAGTGGGGAGATGGCCGTACCTACTTCACAGGGCGCTGCGAGGACTGAGTTTAAGCACAAAACCATTCTGAGCACACGGCGGATAAGGGCGTAGGCCATTGCTGTTGCTTTGATCAGAGGCCTGTGCTCACCTCCCTCCCCAGGCTCGAGCGTAGTGAGAGAGTGGGCAGTGGGAAGCCAGGATCATAGTCTCGGAGTCTTTGGGCGAAACCCGCGGGTGAGCCCTTGCACGGCAGAAGGGGGTTGAGGACAGGAACGGGAGGCTGGTGCTGAGGCCAGAGCTGGAGGCCAGGGGTGTGTGTGCCTTACCTGTGAGTGAGACCCACCGTCTGGAGCCCGCCTGGGTGAGCCTGGGTGGGGCAGGGCAGAGGTGCCGGGGGTGGCAGAGGCAGGTGGAAGAGGGAGGCCAGTGGAGCAGAACGTCTTTAGCAGTTTGCCACCGTCACCTTCCCCCCCGGCAATAGAAAGGGACTTTACCAGCATTCTGGAAGGAATTCTTCAATTCAGCGTGAGCCGAATGAGGCCCCCAGGTCTGCACTTTTAGCGACCCTGTACTGCACAGCTGCCTCTGGCCGTCTCACTGCCCAGGGTGGCTGATGGCCACCAATCACCCCCGAGTACCAGGCACAGTCTCAGGCTTACAAATGAGAAAACCGAGGCCACAATCCTTTGAACACGTGACTGACTCCCGCTTTGCAAACGTCAAAGCTGACGTTCAGAGAGATCGAGCGACTCGCCCAAAGGCACGCGGTGGAGCCCTGTCCAGCTCCAGAGCCCCCCACTCCTCTGAGACCCCTCCCCACTGCTGAAGATGTCACGAAGGATGAGACACTGCTCTGCTTAGCATCAGTGACAGCCACCTCCAGGACCTGACGTTCCTGAACACGCTTCCTGTGCCGTGCCCTGCACTGCGCTCAGCCCTCTGCACACGTCCGCCCACCCTGCTCTGGCAACGGCATTCTGGGACCGGTTCTAGCACACCCTTCTCTCGGCTGAGCCAACACAGGCTCGGGGAGCAGAGGCCACCCGCCCGGGTCACACAGCCTGGAGCCCAGGTCTGCTGGGTCCTGATCCTACAGTCCTAACTCTGGGACCTACCAGGTCACAGCCATAGAGAATCTGTCATGAATGGGTCTGCACAGACACCCAGCCCTGTGGAAATGGGATGAGGAAAGGAAACATGAGGGCTGGCAGGGGTGGTCAAGGAGGGCTTCCTGGAAGAGGCAACTGGAGTCGAACCTTAAAAGATGGGTGTGGTTTAGACGAGGGGAGAAGGATCTCACAGGGCCTCAGATCATCAGGGCTGAAACAGAATCAGGTGCTCCGACTGGCATTCAGCCAGACTCGCGTTCGAGTCCTGACTCCACCTCATGCTGGCTGCGTGGCCTTGGGCAAGTCTCTGACCTCAGTTTCCTCATCTGTACCACGAGGGAAGTGGAACGCGCCAGCTGTCGCAGGGCTGAAGGGGGTCAAGTGGGGCTGGGGCGAGCTGGAAAGAACAGCCCCCTTCCTGGGGCAGCGTCTATTCCACTCCGTCCAGAGGTTCCCACGTGCTAACGCCGGCCTGGGTGGCGCCATCTCAGGAACGGATATAGGCTTTGTGGGACTCTGATGCTTATACGCTGTCGAGGGTCCCCTTTAAGAAAAATAATGCAAGATGATAGATACACCTGATTGCACGGGTGGTAGTTACAAAAATCTACACATGTGACAAAATTATATTAGAACCCCCCCCCACATGCACACACACACACGTAAAACTGGTGACAGCAGCACAAGCTCTGTGCAGATCACACATGTCAATTTCCCGGTTTTGATATTACACTTCGGTTATGCAAGATGTGCCCTTGGGGAAAACCAGGTGAAGGGTACATGGGACCTCTCTGTTCCTTTTTTCCTTTTTTTTTTCAACTTTCTGTGACTCTATAATTATTGCAAAATAAAAAGCTGAAAAAAATATAAATACAAAATTAGGCAAAAGGCTTTGAAGGGGCTAAGGCTCAAGCTTTATCAGCTTCCAAGGAAATCTCCCTCTGACCAATCTTCTGATTTTCAACAAGAAGGAAGGAGAATCTAGACTTTCAGGTGAGTTCTGAATTTGTTAATGTGGGGCTCTAACTAAAAAACTTAAAGACATTGTGCAGCTGTCTGTGGCCACAGGCCATCTGTGCCGGGGCTGGCAGTCCCAGCCATCAGCCCACTCTCTGAGATCCCATCCAGCTCTGACACCTGCTGGTGCTGTCTAGTCCTCCCTTCTCTGTCGCAAATGTGGAAACTGAGGCCAAGAGGCAGGGTGGTGCCTTAGACAAGGTCAGAGGGCAAGTCCGTGGAGAGGCAGGACTCGAACTAGGCTCTCCCTCCCCTCCGGCCAGAGCCTTGCTCTGCGCACTGCTCCCAGGTCCGTCTGTGGGAAGGAGATTCTACGGACCAAACAGCAGTGGTACGTCCCCTGGAGGACACCCCCAGGGTCCCTCTTCCCTGTCCCCTGCCCCATCTCTTTCTTCCTGCCTGCTCTATCTCCAGGAATCCCAGCCATTCCCGGGACACGAGGACCCAAGGGGCAGAAGGGAGAACCCGGCACACCTGGCTATCCCGGGAAAAATGGCCCCATGGGACCCCCTGGGATGCCGGGGGTTCCCGGCCGCATGGGGCCCCCCGGGGAGCCCGGCGAGGAGGGCAGATACAAGCAGAAGCACCAGTCGGTGTTCACCGTCACTCGGCAGACAGCCCAGTACCCGGCGTCCAACGGGCTGGTGAAGTTCAACTCGGTCGTCACCAACCCGCAGGGGGATTACGACACGAGCACGGGCAAGTTCACCTGCAAAGTCCCCGGCCTCTACTACTTTGTGTACCACACATCGCAGACGGCCAACCTGTGCGTGCACCTGTACCGCAGCAACGTCAAGGTGACCACCTTCTGCGACCACATGTCCAACAGCAAGCAGGTCAGCTCGGGCGGCGTGCTGCTGCGGCTGCAGGTGGGCGAGGAGGTGTGGCTGGCCGTCAACGACTACAACGGCATGGTGGGCACCGAGGGCTCCGACAGCGTCTTCTCCGGCTTCCTGCTCTTCCCCGACTAGGGCGGGCGGGCAGGCCCCGGCCCCCCAGGCCGTCCTCCCCCTGCTTCCCTCCAGGACCCACTGTGCTGGCCACTCTCTGCACCCTTGCTCAGGGCCCTCTCGCCGCCTGATGGACTCCTCCTCCAGGAAGCCCGCCCAGCCCCCACCCGTGAGCTCTCTCCCTCCTTCACGAGTCACTGCTTACACTATCCCTTTGACACGTAACCAACACCTTCTGGTACTGTTATTAGGGCTTTTTTCAGGTCTTGGAAGAGGTGGGGAGATACATAAATAAAAAATTAAATCAACAAATATGCACGGCTCGGATTCCTCACTGCGCATTCCTTGAACTTTACATCTTCGACGTTGCCTCTGCCCCGGCTGTTCTGTGGGCGCTGGACTCGGGGCAGCTAGTCGGTGCCCAGTAAAGCTTGACTGCCAATACCTGAGACACTCGGCGCCATTTGTCCCGGTGGGAGAGAGATGTTCGAGGGCGGTTACAGGCCGCCAGTGGTCCCCAAGGGGTCGTCTGCTGTCACTTGTTTGGGGACGAGGCACTGCTGTCATTACAGGTAACAGGAGTGAGTCTGAATTCCTGGGCCTGTGCTGAATCTTGGGAGCTCTTGCCACCCGAGGGCTGTGGGCTCAGGTGAGCCCAGTGCAGGCAAAGACGAGCTGTGCAATGAATTTGTGCTGAATGAAGGAGGGAATTGGGGTGAATTAATGAATGCGTAAGTGGGGAAATGAATGACTAAAACCAGAGCAAATGAATGAATGGATAAAACATCATAATGCTAATGTTTATTGAGGGCCTACTATGCACCAGGCATTATGCTAAGTCTTTACATGCATCGACTCATTTAGTGTTCATCTCAGTGAGTGAGATGTGAGGGAGAGAATTGGCCCCCCAATGTCTGACCCACCCTGAATAACTCATAGACTCTGGGACCCCCCTGCCCAGGAGATTATCTAAAACTACTGCTGCCCACAAGCTGTTAAGTTTCCACGGTGACATTATTGATGGTTGGACTCAGCCGCTGTGATCCTTGTGGATAACCAGGGAGGCCCAGTGTTTGATGTTTCAGGTGTAAAAAGATAAAAAGTGTAACTTTCCCATGCAGACTTCAGGTCCAGGCTCAGAGCCCACTGAGACCCAAGGCTCACTCAGGCCTGGGAGGACCTGGCCTATCCTGGCTGCCATCACAACTTGGTTTCACAAAGCCCCACGGAGTCACCAGCCGACTGAGGCGGGCTGCAAGAGCAGCTGCCCAAGCTGAGATCTGCAACCACCTCCATCCACTTTGGCTCTTCTGTTTGGGAAAGGGGCTGTGTCACACCTCCCTGCCTTTGCCCATACTGTCCCTTCATCCCGTAGAGCCCCCAACCCACTCACACAAATCCCCCATCCACCTGGCTAACACACTCAACTGCCAGGAGTCAACGCAAAGATCACCTCCTCCAGGAAGCCCTCCCTGATTCTCCCCTTTGTGTCTCCAAAGCACCCTCCATAGATTTGACCACAAATTCTTACCTCTTTAGAGCCCAAATCTGGTGGTGAATAAAATTAACCCACCGACTCATTTAAAATAAAACAAAACAAACAAAACCAGATTTCTGGATGCAAGGCTGTTTTATAACAGTTTGGCAAAGACGAGCCTGTGGGTGAGTGGGCAGTTTGCAGGGGAATCTGATGCACACGGCCCACCTGCTGGCTGCTGTGCACTTATCTGCTTACAGGTCTGCGTCCCCACCGCACTGCGAGCATCCTTGGGGGTAGGGCCCCTTGGATACATGCCCGGCACATGGTAGCGGCGTGAGAAATGTATAAGATGGGAAGGGGGAGACATGGAGACACACACACACACACACACACACACACACACACACACACACACACGGAGGGAGCGCGGGAGGCAAGGGCCAAGGGTGTGCGGAGTCCGGGTGTCCCGGGTCACCAGCCACCCGCAGCAGCATTCACAGTTCTCCTCTGCCCGCCACTTAGCGGTCCTCCCGGCAACACCACGAGTGATACATCTGTCTTCTCGTTTCTCTTTTGTTTAAAAAATCAATCACCGTTTATGTGGGCCACAGTGTCAGATCAGAAACCCGTACTTTGGAAACGACAGTTTCTGTGCCGTTTTTATTTTCCACAATTGTTTCCTTGTTGTTCTCTCTTCATCGGGAGAGGCAGGCGTTTGAAAATGCCATGCCCGGCTGCTGTGCCGCGGGGAGGTGGGCGAGAGTCACGTAGAGCAGGAGAGCGGGGTGGGGTGCGGCAGGGACCAGAACAAGACACCCCAAACTGGCCAGGAATCTCTTTCAGACCATGAGGAGCTGAGGGATTTGGGTTTCTTTCTCTACTCTTTGTAGGGACCCTCTGTCTATCAGAGAGGCAAGCCAGCAACTCTATGGGTACAGAGACCAGCTGACTCCCACTCGGGCGGGGGTCAAGGCCCAGGGACCCCTCAGCTCCTGATCCCTGGGTCCAGCCTCCCCGCTCCTCTGCTCCGAGACTGCAGGATTCCATCATATAAATAACACTGGGCGCCTGGCAAGGGCTGGGCCCTGGATGTGCGGGGTTGCCTCACTGGCCCCACCGCAGCCCCGGGAGATCAGTGCTCAGGCCTCCCACTGACTGAGTGTAGACCAGGAAATAGGGCAGGAGATGTGCCTGAGGCAGCGTGGCCAGGAAGAGGCAGAGCTGGGAGTCAAACCTCAAATTTCCAAAGCGCAAGGTTTTAACCCTCCTCTCTGCCACTGCCTGTTCTGTCTCACTGCTTCTACCCCGAGTTCAAGCTGATCTTTTCCCATTGCCATCGGCCACTAGGAATTAGAGGCCCAGGCCCAAGCGGCCTTGGGAGCCCTCAGCTGGACCCCTGGACCTGCGACCGACTAACTCCCTTCTCCTGCCTTGGAACCCACCGCTGTCTCCTCTGCACCTGGCCTGGTCCCTTTGGGGCTATAGTTGGCTGAGCCCAGAGATCTTCCGGTTTTATAAACTCGTCTTTTCCTCCCCTATCACCCACTGCAGTGAACTCATAATGTCCACCTGTCCGCACCCACAAGGATCTCCTACCTCCAAGCAAGGGTGTGAAGAGGGGCCCTCCAGCTCCCGGGGCTTGCAGGCAGCCCTCCGCAAGGGGCGTCACACTGCCCGGTGGCAGCCACAGAGGCAGGGCCGATATTCAGTGCCAGGAACGCCCGGCTTTGAGTCCTGCATTGGCCACTTACACGAGGTGGGCTCCAGCTGTCACTGCTTTCTGTGACATTTA